TCGTGCTGGATACAGTATTCTTGGTTCAAGGCCCTTCTGTTTCATTGCATTAAATATATCATGCCATTCTCCTCTGGCCTGTAAGGTTTCTGCTGAGAAATCTTATGATAACCTGATGGGTTTTCCTTTGTAGATGACCTTTTTCCTCTCTCTAGCTGCGTTTAAACTCTGTCATTGTCCTTGATCTTTGCCATTTTAATTATTATGTGTCTAGGTGTTATCCTCCTTGGGTCCCTTCTGTTGGGAGTTCTGTGTACTTCTGTGGTCTGAACAATTATTTCCTCCCCCAGTTTGAGGAAGTTTTCAGCAATTATTTCTTCAAATACACTTTCTATCTCTTTTTCTCTGTCTTCTTCTTCTGGTACCCCTATAATGCAAATATTTTTCCATTTGGATTGGTCACACAGTTCTCTTAATATTGATTCATTCCTGGAGATCCTTTTATATCTCTCTGCGTCAGCTTCTATGTGTTCCTGTTCTCTGATTTGTATTCCATCAATGGCGTCTTGCATCTCATCCATTCTGCTTATAAGTCCTTCCAGAGATTGTTTCATTTCTGTAATCTCCTTCCAGACATCATCTCTTAGCTCTTGCATATTTCTCTGCAACTCCATCAGCATAGTTATGACCTTTATTTTCAATTCTTTTTCATGGAGATTGGTTAGGTCTATCTCTGCAGATTCCTTGTCAGGGGGGATGTCTGGGTTATTCTGGTCTGTATCAAATTCTTCTGCCTTTTCCTGGCTATTGAGGTAGTTGTGGGAAGCTGTTGCATGTGTCGGCTGGGAGAATGTCCCTTCTTGCTAGTTGTGGGCTTCCTCTCCTGGGAGAACAGCGACTCCTAGTGGCTTGTGCTGGGCAGCTGCGCACAGATGGGGTTTCTAATTTTTGCCTGGCCACTGTGAAAGAAGCTCTGCCCTACTGCCTCAGGCTGCTTCTCCACTATGGCGGAGCATCGTTGGAGGGGAAACGGACAGGAGGCTGTTTATCTCCATGAGGGGCCTCCGAGCTGCGCTGCGGCCCAGGGGTTAGGGCACCTGGAGTTCCCCGGGATTCTCAGCTGCTGATCTAAGTGTCCCAGGACATTTCTGTCCAGCTGTGGGGTCCCTGTCCTTTTAAGTCTTTCAAAAAGCACTCACTTTTCTTTGTTCCAGGGCACCAGCTGCAGGGACCCACTCACAAGTTTTACTGTCCTGTTTCCCTAGTATCCAACACCCCACGCACTGTGTGTCTGTGCTCCTGGTACGGATGGCTAGGGCTGGCTATTTAGCAGTCCTGGGCTCCCTCTCCCTCCCTGCTCCGACTCTTCTCCTCCTGCCAGAAGCTGGGCTGAGGAGTGCTCAGGTTCCGCCAGGCCACAGCTTGTATCTTACCCCCTTCACTAGGCACTGGGTTCTCGCAGGTGTAGATGTAGCCTGGCTATTGTCCTGTATCTTCCAGTCTCTCTTTTAGGGATAATTGTGTTTGCTGAATTTTCAAAACTATATATAGTTTTGGGAGGAGATTGCTGCTGCTCTACTCACACCACTATCTTGGCTCCCAGTCCTTCTTTTCTTTTTTAAATAACCCTTTAACATGCATTGTTACTTGCAGACAGTACAAAAAGCAGGCTGCAGACCAGAGAGGTCACAGTTTACTGATCACTGGTGTAGAGGATCCTTTTGGACACTGAACCAACTCACTGCCTTCATTTAAGCCCCACCCAGTCCTCCTTGCCTCCAGAGGAATTTAAAGCCTCAAATTTCTTACCTTTTTTGGGTTTCATGACAAAACTGGGTGATTTCTTAGAGGTGCTCCCCAACTCCAAACCTCTTCCCCCACCCCATGGGAACTTAGGGTTCAGCTTTCACAGGTCTGCTAGGTAAATGACTGCTTGTCTATCTTCTTGCCATTTTCTAAAGGGCCAGTTTTTTTCTTGTCTGCCTTTCTCTTTGTTCTTATTGGGTGTGCCTTTTTCTTCCTTTCCTCTCAGTTTACTGGGATTTGGGGAAGTAGTTGAGATAAATATATGTGTTTAATCTAGAAAGTTTAACCAGAAGCTCCCCCCAAATCCAATTTGGTTGGTTTTTATTTTTACTACTTTCTTTGATAGTGCTTGGGTTAATTTTGCATTTGTTCTCCACGTGCTTACTTGCTATGCCAGATGTTCAAAGAAGTTGTCCTTGGGGAGGAAAAATGAGGAGTTTTAAAATGTAGTGTTCTTGAAATGCTCACAATGGTTCAGTGTGTGAAATCTCAAAGAGGCCCCATCATTTCTAACTGCCAAACTCTCATAGTAGAAATACAGTTTAGCCCTTATTTGTGTAAACCATCAGGAGCATTTTTAAATGTTTGTAATGAAGTTTGTGGCTTATTGTTTAAAACTGAATTTAAGGTAGTAAATCAAAGCTTTTGGTGGTGTGCCCTTGACAGCAGGGAGAGCCTGGGAAGTGATCCCTAGAATTGATCAAAGGGAGTTGCTGAGCATTTTTGCCTGTATTTGTGTTTTGGTCCTTTAATCTGGTAGAGTTTCCAGTCCCATTCTGAATACAGTAATGCACATCACCCCCACCCAAGTCTTCTTGGCAGCATCTGTCACAGTCTTTGCCAGATGGCCTCTGTTGGGGCTATCAGGCCTATAGAAGGTATGAACAATGGTGATTGTCGAAATATGGGCATCTTTCAGGATCTGATTCAGACCACATTTTGTTCTAGTAATCAAATGAAAATTGAAAATGAAGTGAGTAAAATTCACTGAGAAATAACCACAGGTCATTTCTGCCTAGGTTCACCTTTCCTGGCCAGTGAAGACGGGGTACTGGGCGGAGTGATTGTTCTCCGATCTTGCAGGTGTCCTGCAGAGTCTGACCCCTCACAAAATAAGCAGACACTTCTAGGTAAGTTGGGCATACACAGTATATGTGTGTGTTTTTCTCTTTCATTTTTTTAAGACATGTAAAGACATACGTCCTTAGGTCAATAACTATAAGCCTTGGGAGGGCCAGAATGTTCAACTGATATCTAAGCATCTCTCTTTTACCGATTTTTTTTTTACATATGTAAACATGTAAAAAATTAATATTAATTTAAATATATGCTCTGATCATATTTTTCAAGTGAGCTCAGAACCTAGGACCTTTTCTAAAGCCCAGTACTAAGAACACTGAACCATGTATTTATCCCCTGCCTTATTCCACATAGCATTTGAGATGACCTACAACAACATCCACTAACCCAGGAAGAAGCTTCTTCCTGTTACCTGTCCCAAAAAGGAATCAGAGCCTTTTGAAAAGCTACTGGTCTACAAGTCCATCCTGGCTCCATCGCTCATTAGCTATGATGCACTTGGGCATGAGTCTGAACTGTTCTGTGCCACTTCCTCATCTGTAAAGTAAGGATGTCTGCCCTGCCGGCTCCCAGGGCTGTGGTGAGGGTCAAATAGCGTTTTGCAAATTTGCAGATGTCTGTCCAGATGTGTGGTTTTGTGTCTAGCCAAGCACACCATTGGGGATGACACCCAGCCTTCCCTGCATTTGCCAAGGCACAAACTTGTGGGGCTGCCTGTGCCCATGGGATGCCCTTTTCTAATTTACTCATCCAGAAGGGGCATTTTATAAAAATCTGCATAAAGGTGCCACAAAAACTAGGAGGAGGCTGTATATGTTATCTTTTTAATTGAATTTTTAATTGAAGTGTGTATATATTCAGAAAAGTGCAGAAATCATAACTGCTACCACTTGACAAATTATTATAAACTGAACCCACTGATGTAACTAACACCCAGCTAAAAAAATAGAGCCCCAAAAGCCCCCTGGCAATCCCTTTAAACCCTATCCTCTCCAATGGTAAAAACTATGTTTCCTTCTAATATGATTAGTTTTGCTGTGTTTATATTTCATATTAAAGGAATCATAGAATACATAATATTTGTGTCTGATGCCTTCAGTCAACATTAAGCCTATTAGATTCATCCATGTTATATATGGCAGTAGTTTGTCCTTATTCATTGCTGTATAGTATTCTATTTTATGGATATACCACTGTATATATCCATTGTCCTATAAGCATTTTTATATAAGCCCTATTGGTCATCACAGAAGCTGTGGTAGTTCAACTGTTTGTATTAATTTCTTTTGTGGGTGGTGCCTGATCTATATTGTATGATTATTGTGAATTGCTGTAATACAAGTTCCTTCATACCCTGAAGTTCTGAGTCTATAAAATAGAAAAAGAACATTTCTTGTGAGTGTAAAAAGAATGTTTTGTAAAAAAATTCCAAGATCTATAAAGCTCTTTTTCTCTTTCCAAAGAGCTTTTATAAAATCTCTCCCCTCATTCTTCAGTGGAAAAAAAATGCACTTTTATATAAAAGGCCTCTTTCTCCACCTAGACTCTTTGACAACTAATCTCATCATTTTTCTTGCCATACTCTGTTTTTATTTCCATTCACTGTATTTGGTACCCACGGTGCTCCCAAGACATGTATTTTTAAATGGCTATCTGTTGTTAAACCAAGGCAAATTAAGTGTTTGCTTCTTTGGTGTCATAATTATTATTGAATCCTTTGAATATCTTCCACAGTTAGATAACAGTGAGTTTGCTTTTAAAATATGCAGAGGATGTACATGGGCCTTCCATAAAGACCCAGAATAACCATTGGTACTGGGGGTGGGGTGAACTTAGGGAGCAGTTACTAAAAAAATGCTTCATAGACTGTTCCTAGGATGCAATGTCAGTTCTTTACTAAGCCCAGACTCTTGCAGATTAGAATTCATCCTGAAAATCAACTTTTTTTGGTTGTCCTTTCATTTTTATTGGTGTAGCATAGAAATACATATTTAAGGATAAATCATAGAAATTTAGCTCATGTTAAATAGTTTTTATCACCAAGGTGGTAATTTATAAACTGACTCCTACTCTCTATCTCACAAAGAAAAATGAAATGTTAAGGGTCAGTTTCTGAAATAAGTGATATCTTGCCGTTTGTTAAAGCTAACTAGAGGGATTGATGTTTGTGAAGTTTTACTAAAACCTGGTAAACATAGGCTTGTTAATTTATAAATGCTACCAACTACATAGATTTTCACATTTTCTGCTTTAAAAAATGTATGTACATTCATTATGTGGTAAGAAAGCAAACATAGGAGAGAAGGATAGGAAAGGAGATATGAAAGCCATCTTGGCTGCCCTGAGCCAGAGCCCATCCCAGAGCCACTGGTCTCTGGTTATGGTTATTCCCTTGGGAAACAACTTCACTCTATAGAATATGGTCATGCTTCTCTTTCTTGATTAGTCAGGAACTTGTTGCTCCTTTTGGGGAAAAACTTAAGAACATCACTCACACCAGTTCCCACTCCCCATTCCTCTTGACTTTAGTTGGAATTCAACTCTAACTTGAAATCTTATGTTTTAATTGTTTTGCAACTTTAACACACTATTTCCTGATTGACCAACTTTATACAATCTCTATTAATTATGTCTCAGCCCTTTAACTCTGTAAGTTTAGGAAAGCTGACATGTGCTCTACTTTTCTCTTTCTCCTTCACTCTCAACCCTTAACCTTAACCTCTGGCAACCATATCATTGTTGATATGATGATTAACATTTGCATTCTATCCTGTAGCTAACTTGTCCTCTATACTTTCATTAGAGGTTGATTCTAAACAGTGACAATGTGAGTAGCCAGCATTGACAGTATCCAGATTATGTGAATATTATTCACTGTGGATCTCAGGAGTGGAGGTTTAAACCCATAAGAATAGAAGTGTCTGTCAAGACCCCCTGCCTATAAAAGGAGAATATTTCCAACATCAGGCTCAGGCAGATTCTTCTGTGTTGTACCAATTAGTCAAAATCAGGCCACAACTTAATTTACTTCATGTTTGGACAATGACTTCTCGTTTATTGCTTTTGAAACTCTCATGAAAATATGGATTCATAAACTCATGGCTCCTTAAAGCTTAGTAACCAGGAAAGCTCAGAAGTATTTCTTTTCCTATACATCCAAATAAAACAAAACAATTCCCAAAATTAAAAAACAAAACAAAACAAAAAAATATAACTGCTGTATATTGTTCATCATTTTTTTATCCCAGGAATAGTATAATCAAAACATTCTCTAACTTCAGATTTTGCTTTGTCCATTCTTCTGAAAATCATGTTTCCATTACACCACAAAAGTAGTTTCAGTCAAGCCCCATTGCCCCTGTATGAAGTTTCCAGAAAGCCATCTCTGAGCCTGTCCTCTTGACAAGTACATCAGTTACAAGAGTCCTAGTGGGCCACTTCAAGGGTGAGGAATACACTCAAATACAAGGCGCTTTCAAGGTTTGTCCTTTGTTTACTGATTTATGAATAGAGTTGGAGAAGCTCAGATATGAAGGAACTCTCCAAGTCCTCTTGTGTGATGCTTTTACATGTGCTTTGTCTATAAACTTTTTGTATGAGGTGGAGCTTAATCCTCTCCCTTGAGACTATCTTCCATTGCATAAGAATATGGCAGAGTGACAGTGTGTGACTTCTGAGGCTAGTGAGTAAAGGCACTGTGGCTGCCTCCTTGCTTTCTCTGTTGGATCACTCACTCTGCAAAAGACCAGCTGCCATGTCATGAGGACACTCAAGTGCACTGTAGAGGGGCCTTCCTGGCTAAACACCATGACCTCCTTCCGTCAGCTAGAAAGGCACTGGGGCTTCCTGCTAGTAGCCTGAGCTCTGAGTGAGCCCTCAGATGACCACAGCCCTGGGCAAGTATCTTCACTAAAATCTCAGGAGGGGTCCTGAGCAAGAGCTACCCAACAATGCCACTCCTGAACTCCTTACCCATGGAAGCTGAGATAACAAATGTTTGTTGTTTAAAACCACTGCATTGTGGAGTAATTTATGCATCAAAAATAACTAATAAACTTTGAGAACCCTCTCACTGCTAACTGGGCCTCTTGTTTGTCTGAAGAACTGCAATAATAAAGTGCTCCTCCGCATCTTCAGGTAGCTCAGACTCTCAGACGTCAGTCTCCATCAGTAGATCCTGGTGCTCCCCTTTGGAATCTTCTGGGACAAGTGTGATCAGTGCCCTCCTCCTTTGTAGTCCCTAATCATTCTTTTGCAGTCTGTCTCCTTGGCCTCCCCACCTCTCTTCGTCTCCCACCTCCATACTGCTGCCAGGCTTCTCTTCCCATCACACTTCTATAGGTGGCGCATGAACCTAACTGTGGGCTCCCACCCAGGGGTCGTCTGGAGAGAAGCAGACTGCTCTGAAATGGAAAGGGCAGAAACGAGGACCTGACCTAACTGTGGCTTAGAGAGCCACACCAGTCCCAGGACCAGAAGGTAGTGGTCACAACAAGAGCCACATAAGTATATGTGATGGTTTACTCTGTATCTAAGCTAAATGTTGAATAATGTTCTCTGTATATTAAAATCAAAACAAAGCCTGATTATCTTACTATCACTCCCTACTTCAGATTTTTCAATGAGGACCACATACACACTCCTGCCTATGCTGGTCATTCCCTAAGAGATAGATGGGAACTACTTAACTTGATGAGAAAGTCCTCCTGTGATCTGACACACTTTCAGTGTCATTCTCAACTACTCCCTCTTTGCCTCTTCTCATCCCCAGTGCCAGAGTTCTGGCCACTCCAAAATGCTTGGTCTTCTTCCAAAGGTCCTGTTTTTTCCCCAATATTTCTTGTGCTTGGAATGCTCTGGGCCAATTACATTCCTTCTTTAAGACGCAGGACAGATAGTTATCTTCTTGACTCACTGGGGAGCCCTTCACCCAGGTGATTGTTCCTTCCTGTGCTCCTGTTGCAACCTGAAATGGGCATCTCTTATAACACTCACCATGACACATACTAGACATATGCCAAGTAAAGCATTTGCCCTTCCTCTGGGTCCA